CACACACACACACACACACACACACACACACACACACACACACACACTCTCTCTCTCTCTCTCTGTCTCTCTCTCTCTCTCTCTCTCTCTCTCTCTCTCTCTCTCTCTTTTCGTCTCATTATTTATAATAGTGCGTTTATTGCAGGCAAGGTAGGGAATCGAGGCAATCTACGGAATGACAATCGACGAAACGTCACTGGAAACCATCGCCCGCGATTCGAGATTGCACTTCGAGCGTAATAAAAAAATATACTTGCAACATCGATCCGTTCATCGTTAACACTTCTGCGACCGAGGCCAGGAACACCGCCAGGCGTCTTCTAGAACAACGTTTCTCAGACCGGCTTCAAGCACCGAGCCGCGTGATCATTGTCGATAGGTCGTGCAGCGATTCTCGTCAGCTCCGAACCCTTTGGTACACGAATTATTATTATTTTCGGCGATCCGTAGAGCCATCGGACGCAACCACCAGAAAGTGTGTGCATCCTCTTTGAATTTCCACGAGTTTTGTCTCGGAACGTTCTCAATTTTATCAAAGAACATGGTTCCTTGACTGTAATTTTGAAGACTATAGTATCCTCCGTTTCTGGAAAGGCTGTTCTAGGACCCTTCGGGTCGCCAATAGTCCAAAAAGTATCGTTTGTACGTCCAAGATGGCGAAAGTGTTAAGTCCGACGATCGTTAATGTACATCTGTGTTCTGTTCAACGGGTAGAAAAACGAACGTAGAATTTCCTCTGGTATATACCGCAGGTCTCTGTTTCCAGTGTCGTTACCGCGGCATAGATTTCATATGCAGGCCTAGACTCGCCACCGGACGTCAACACCGTAGAATCGAAGCGCGATCAGTCCTCGTGTTTTTCACTTTTTTCCCTTCGCCTCCACGGTCTCGACGGCGTTGGTCGTCAGCGTCCCGCGCGTATTTCTCGACGAATAGACCGCTAACAGCGTGTGTAATTTTCACGTTTTAGGCATGAGGCATTCGGTAAAACGCCGCGAGTCTTCCACGTTGCCTGTTTACGTAACCGCAGAACAAAGTTCGGCGTGCGAAGGCCTTGTCGAAGGATTCACTCCTCCCTGACGACCCTTTACGTTTCTTTTCTTTTTTTTTTTTTCGTTTCTTTTTTCTTTTCTGTATATTTTCGCGTTTCGCTGCAATGGGGAATTAAAAACACACGCACACGTACACTCTTGCGCGCACCCATTCGCTCTTTCTCTTCTGCTTCTTTCTTTTTTTTTTTTTTTTAAAGCTGCCTTAAAACTTACGACGCGGCGAAGTTAACGTTTCCCGATAAGAGAGATTCGAAAGCTGAAAAGGGTGACGGCGGAGCAATGGAAGATACCAACTTAACCGGAAAGAAAATGAGAAAATAGAAAAAAAGAAAGTGAAATAGAAAAACGACTTCAGTTCCGTTAGAAATCTTACGACGAGCACCATGACGTTTGCAGGAACCATAGAAGTTGTCGCGTTCCAAGCTAAACGGATAGACGACGGATGTGTGTGTGTGTGTGTGTGTGTGTGTGTGTGTGTGTTATACTTCGGTTGCTTTGGATTTCATTTCAGAGAAATTCTGTCTGTGTGTGTGTGTGTGTTTATTTTTATTTTTTTTTCCGTTCTTTGTTCTCCCCTGCTTTGTCGAAACTGAGGCTTCGGAAAAAGGAAGAAGTTATCCCAGGTTTCGTGTTCCTGTTTTTCTGGATCGTTCGGCTCTTGGAATCGTATATCGCGATGCGCGCGTAGCTTCTTTAAAATTCATTTCTTTTAGACGATCGATGATCGTGCTTATATCAGTCTGCGATACATCGTTTGCGTCGCCGTCGGCGTCGAGCGGCGCTTCGTCTATGCGAAAAGTCGCTTGGAAGCAGGGCTTGGGACCGTTTCGATATTTTATAGCTCGTTGTTCGATGATTGATCGGTATTTGAACGGTAGTTGAAAGTATTCGAATGACCAATGCTTTGAGTAGATAAGCATTCGAATGCCTGAGTACTCGAGTAGACAAGCATTCGAACGTTCAATAACCTTCCCGTATTCGAATCTAGCAAACTACTCGAGCTTTATTCGAGTCCCAAAGGCCCATTTGGTTAGACGCCAGCGAATCGCCGTTCGACGATCGACCGTTTTCGCATGTCTAATGGTAGGCTGCGCTTTTTCAGTTATCTCGACTGTCGACTATCGCGGCGCTTAAAACTTAGTGGAAGTACGAACAGTGGCGAAGTATCCCACGCGAAATTGGAAGATACGAAATCGCACAAAAGATGGGTATCCAGCGTGGAAAAGAAAAATTTTAGTAACTCCCGTCGATCACAGTAGCGTTTTCTAAAACGTTCCTAGGTCTAGATGTTCTCTTTGCGTGCTGGTCGTTTACCTTTGAATCGATAATTGCGAGGGAAAGGCTCGAGCGGACCTTATCTTTTGATTATACACGAAAATATCCACGAGACGCAGCCGTTGTATCAGGATTCCTCCCTCTTTAACCCCATTTTTGACTAGATTTCCCGCGAATTACTCTTCCACCCTCGAGGCGTGCCCGTGTTTAGTGTGCGCTTTCGATTGTTCCCGATTAGAGAATCGCGCCCGAGTCTTCGAACCACCGAAAGAAATAATTCCCTCTTTCTTTCGAAACGATTTTTCAAGAGATCGTTCCTCGTCGTATGGAAAATTGTGGTCGGCTCGACGAGCCCAATCCCTTCGTCCCTTTCTGGGATTAATTTGTGCGCGATCGCGATTGGATAAGACAGATAAGGGAACGTTTCTTCGTTAGAGTACGATCAACCATGCCGATTAAAATCACGGATCCTCGTATTATCGTTTCGCCGGATCGACGACGATGGACGACGAAACCGTTCGAAACGAGAAGAATAGAAAGATAGGCGGAGGCATGTGTGTACGAGCTGTGCGCACCTAGTCACCGATGCTTAAATACTCGGAACAGCATTCGATCTTTGGAAAGGAAATCCTGTTTTGTATCCATACATTTGTTTCGTTCACTTCGATTTTTTAAATCTGAATGCTACAAGAAATCATCGTTCAAAACCACTTGTCATCTTTCACTGGTAATAATCCATATAAAAATTTGAAGATCTCCAAAAATTAATCAGTTTGCTACGAATTTCATTCCACCTGTCCATATGCACGAAAAAGTTGGGTTACTTTAAAAATCGATGCTCTAAGCATTCACCGAGGTATAGGTGAACGCGCGCGTGTGTACGCGTGGAGGGGGTGAAAGAAAGAATTGAAAAAATCAGACTATGCTTTCCGTTTCGAAAATTCCACGATAAAAGAACGCCTAAAAAATATATATATACACACACATATATATTTATATTAATATATATATATATATATTATATTATATATGTATATATTAATATAAATACATATATATATATTATATTATATTATATATGTATATATTAATATAAATACATATATATATATGTATATATGTATATGTTATGTATACGAACGTGTATAAATATAGATATATAGATACTCGATCACCGAAAGTTTTTATATTAATTTTTGTAATTTTTTTTGTTATTTTTCGTGACTCGATATTTTCCACATAACGTTCTGGAAAAAGGTTTTCTTTTCGTAAAAGGGATTACCGTTTCGAGCGCAGCCTACCGTTTTTCTCGCCAAACCGACGACGATGTACATATACATAATATATATAAAATAAAGGTATTCATAAATTAGAGCTCCTTATAATTATATTACCTTTAAATTATATCGAGTAATTAATAGTAATGTTAGTATATACAGGTACAGGTCTCGTATAGTTTGCAGTCGTGTCGTCACTGGTTGTTGTTTGTTTCTTGTTTCTCTTGTTAGTTCGATTCGATCGTCGCGTCTCTCTCGCTCCAATTTAGTTCACTCGCAGAGACGAGGAGAAACGTTCGTCCGAGAATAATCCACGACAAGCAAAGACCGTTTAAATAATGCAATTCTCAAACTTTAACGTTTATCCCACAAACGATGGATGAACGACGACGATCGAAAACGTACTTCGTCTCTTGTTCGTTGCTCGAAGAATTAACCCGAACGATCGTTTCTCCCATCTCTGGTTCCTCGCGCTTTCTCCGTAAATCGATGCTGGCGGGTGGCGACAAAATCCGCCGCGATTTTTCACTTTCAGCCGCCCGAAGCTCATCGTAGAAAATGGTACCGTGACGTCGCGCGGAGGAAGGAAAATTTACGCTGTTTCGATAGCGCGACCAATGGGAGGGAAGTCGGAGTCCCTTCTCTCTGTGTTAGAATTTTAGAGACTTTTTTTTTAAAGATTCATGGAAGTATTTGCGAGGAAGCCTGGCGATTTGTATACGAGTAGAAAAAACGGTAAAACGGGCACGACGGAGCACCGCGTTGGTACGGTACCCTTTTCTAAGCGTCGCTTTAGGCAGAGATGAACGAAGTTTTGCAACAGCAAACAACGAATCGGTCAATTTTTGGTCTTCCGTTGGGAAATACAGCGAGTCCTGTCTAAGAGGCGTCGAGTAGAGTCCTCGTTATCCTCTCCACCCGACGCGAGCCGAGCAGCTCCAACGAGTGGTGGGGATATCCACGCGCCTCTTAGACAGAATCCATCGTATCCTCGTTTGTAACTTTTACTCGTGACTCGATGCTCGCAGTTAGGCGAAAAATTCGCCCATCTCTGGCTCTAGAGTGGTCCGTGGAAGGATAATCGAGAAGCTCGAACGACTTTGGCGCGCCCCACATCCCCCCACCCCTCCATTTTTCGATTCTATCAGGGAATGGCAGCATGCGACGGACTCGAGTTTTCTAAACAATAAAAAAATCCCTATCGTTTCGTTCGGGTCCGTTCTCGTCGTTTTTCCGTTATTCGTGAGTTCGGGTGATTCTTCGTTGGTTCGTGTTGGCTACCATAGAAAAAATATAGAAACGAGTATTTACAAGGAAGGAACTTTGTTACGCTCGTTAGCTCGGGGGAATCGCGTCGATTAAACGGTGTACGGTAAAGTAACCGGCTTCCGGGAGGAGTGTGTACTAAAAGCTTTAATTCCATTCGCGTTTAACAAGTATAACCAAGCAACAACATTTTTCAACAACCTCGGGTCAATTTCTCTCTTCTCCTCCTCCGGGTCCAAAGATGGACAAAATTGTACTCGATCGACAGGCCAGAAAACGAGACGACTCCATCGCGAGGTTTATTTACAACTACACCGTGGATGTTTATGCAAACACGTATTTTTACAAATTCAAGTAAAGAATCGAGATTTAAACGAAAGTATGGTTTGTCCTCTAAACGGTGTAAAGTGTTCTTTACGTATCCTTGCATTTATGCGTATTCTTACTCAGTCTCCCATATTTACATTTGCGATAAATGCATAAACATCGACAGAACAGGCGTACTATTATTTTTTCGAGAAATAATAACAGTTCGTTCGCGAGCGAATCATTTGATTAGATTTTGTCAACGGAAGCCTCTCTAACTCGTTCAATTTTGTCCATCTCCGATCGAAGCAATTACCACCGCCCTCATTCTACCCCCTCCCCTGTCTGTGCTTGTGTCTTCGTAGAGTTCATTGGCGCGCTGCTCGTCGCGGGCGAATGAAATTTAAGAAACGTACGGCATCTCCGTGCAAGCTCCTCCCCCTCGCGTTTTCCGCGTGGGAGCAGCACGACCGAGCGCAAGGAGCACGGGGTTCTCTTCACTGCCACCGCGCGCGAGGGTGAACGTCGCTTTCGTTCGTCGTGAGCAACTCGTTTACCATTCCACGGCTGGATTTTGCGCTGGAGCGAAAGGGCTCATACCCCCGGTCTTAGGTGCACTCGATTATGTGAGGCTGGGAGGTCTCTATGACGCTTGGCCGACTCACGGAGTTCTCCAGGTTGTGGAGGGACGTGGAGTGCGGCCCGTGAGCGGATCCGTGCCTCTCGTAATTGTCGATGTGCTCCAGTTCGCATTCCTTCGGCATGGTTCCTGCAACACCGTCAAACCACACCTTTCAGACCAAGGGA